TCTTATGGGGATTCGGTCTCAAAACTTCCAAAATCCGCCACCAGAGGCTCTGGCGTCGCGCGCCATTGACAGGTTGTTGGACGGAATCTGTATTCATGAGTTGGGGATTCCGCCGCTAGATGGCGCTGTCAAACCAAACGGAATCTGTGTGTCATTGGACACCTGTCATGCGTCCATTGGGCATCTCACGCATAGATGGCGTTAAAACGTCATCTGTTATACGTCATTGGACACCTGTCATTGATGGGTTGGCATCTCGCGCATAGATGGCGCCGATTTGTTTGGCGCTGTACAAACCAAACGGAATCTATGTGTCATTGGACAGCTGCCATTGATGGGTTGGGCATCTCGCGCATAGATGGCGCCGATGTCGCACTCTGTCTGGTGTTGGCGTGGATTACGGGGGGCAACGTGTATACAGGGGTGCAACGAAAATAGCGGATCGATGGACCGACGGTATATCGTTAAATCGTATATAGCAAGGCGTGACCTAAATAGCGTGGTGGGCTCCTCTGGTCGGTCGGTCGGTCGGTCAGAATGTCTCATAACCTGTATACGATGTACTGTTATTATTATACAGGATGATACCGTTCAAAATGAAATAGTATAGACATTCTGACAATTATTTCGCAAACCAGAGGTATTTTCAATAAAACTACAATAATACGTTTAATATTTATTGAAAATAGAAAAAACTACATAGGTAATATGATATTTGAAAACCAGTGGCGTAGACGTTCAACATTTCTCTGGGTACAGGAAAATTGTCCGTTGGTGTGGCATGGATTGGAATCAGCAACAAAGTTTCCAGTAGCACACGGTGTACCATCATACTTGCAAACATCAATAATGTTGGGAAAAACACCAAAAATGTGACATTTCTTGAGTAAAAAGTTTGCTTTCTGTTCTCCACGAACGTAGACATAGTCAGCCGCATATATCACCTTATTTTTAATTATTTCATTTAACTTGGAATATTTAACGTCGCCGGAAGAATATTTAAGCCCATGGAAATTCTTCTCCAAGTAAGCGACAGTTTTCTTGTCTTTAGTATTTAATGTAGAAAAAGGTTGCGGAGGTGTAAAGATGTAATGACTTTTCTTGAAACCAATTTCGATACATAGTTCTTTAGGTACGAATAATCCGTCAACTGTAAAGCCTTGAATGTCAACAAACGCGATCCTCATGATGTCTGATGCGGAACTGAGAGTCCTTCGTTGCTTACGAGATGGTTTTAATAACTTCGGTGAGGGGGAAGTACTCGATTAAGCAGTCATGTATAATGATGCAGTAGGCCTTGGTGTTGGTTGGAAAGCCAGTATCGGCTTCGATATCCAATCTAACATCAACAGTTGATGATTTCATGGTTTCCTCTTGTTTGGAACAGTCAATAACAAACAAAGCGCGATTTTTAAAAGCGGTATAATCTAAAAGACATCTCTTCAGAGGAGAAGAAGAAGTTGTATAGCTGGTTTGAAAGTCGCTATAGTTGAAATGAGCTTCAGTAAAGTGATTGTTTGCAAAGTCCAATTGCATACGTTCGTTGGGATAGTATTCACCATTTAAAGATACTCGAATACTAGCAGCATTCACGTGATCAAACAGGGTAGGGTCTGAGGTTGCGACGTCACGTTTACCGGTTTGGAAACATACTATAATGAAACGTGGTCTTTCGATTGCGGTGCTAGTTTTAACTGACCATATTTCTCTTCTCGCATCTGCGGTAATTGCAGGCAGTTCATTCAGATCCCATTTTCTAAACGGTATAAGTATCGGCTTATCAGTTTGAATAGCTTTCAAAAGTTGTTCTTTCACATCATCACTCGGGTAAATATGTTTGATTTTCAGTTCCATGCTTTCAATAGTTATTTTCGCTGTCGTCGTCGTTCCAGTTTTTTCCTTGATAATGATACAATCGTTATCGTTTCTAGCTCTCACAAATCTGAGAGTTTGTCTGCCACACGTAATCATAGGATAATCATTGAAAATGTTGAAAATATGTTTAAGCGGCATTAGCAAGCTAAAAGACTTGTTATGTGTTGACGCCATTATAGGTGTTGAAGGATAGTTCCATCCAGCTATAGCCATATGATTTGAGTCTTCCTCACTGTAACATACGTAAGCTCGGACAGTACTTACAATACCAGGATCACGTACTGTTTCAACTTCTCTAGCGGATTCACTGTAAGTGCAAGAGTCAAATAGGAAGGCACCAAAGTTTGGAGCTAAAGATACATCTCCTGCTCCTCCTCCTCCAGTTATTTCAACTTTTCCTTTGATAGATAGAAGGGAAGCGTTCATTGCAAAGAACGAATCTACTTGATTGATGCTAAATTCCACAACATCATTACAATTAAATGACTTGATGAACGGCGTATAAGATCTATACTCAGCCTTGCGAATAGATTCATCGAATGCTGGAGATCGATATAGATCAAACATCGGAGAAGTATGTGATGCTGCTGCTGCTGCCTCCTCAGTTTTTCTCTTTTTGTACATGATTCTTGTTGTTGTTGACATGATATCCAAGTGAGCGTAGAAACAGGATATTTGATGTAGTTAGTAGTAGATGTCGTCGCTTAGGTGCTTGGGGTAATACTGAAGTTGCCTTGGAAGCACCACTATGTCTTATAATCACTAATCCCATCTGCGCTTCGCTCTCAACTCCAACACAAGAGTACTAGTTTCACCTTGAAAGTTTACAGGACGACCGTCTTGATCTAAAGCCAACACTGTGATGTTGGTTATTTCTTGTTTCGGTATAACAGGTAGATATAGTAAATTTACAGGTGTTTCGACTA